AAGGTTGGCAGTTCAAATCCGCCAGCCGCTCCTGGAAACCCTATGGGGCAGCTGTACTCTGTCCTATAGGGTCGCTATGAGTTGGAATCGACTCAACGGCAACGGGTTTGGTTTGGTTTTGGTAATGGCTTCAACTCGCAAGTCAACATGGGACCTCTAGGGGGCAGCCTACTGACCTGCCATGATTCTCCCAGGTAGGACATGGGCCACACCTACCTGTCCTCAAAAGGTTTCCACTTAGTGCTGCTACTTGACCTGTGTCAGATGACCTCTGGGGTCTCCACTGCAGATTGGGAGGAGATGAATGTGGGAGCCGTGACACATGACCTTTCCATCTCCAACAAGTACCTTCCCTCAGGAAATTTCTAGCTGTGAGGTGGTACAGCCACTATCCTGCCCAGCCACAAGCTCAACAGATGTGACTGTTTCCTGCTGTGGCTCTCCTGCCAGTCTGAGCCCCCTGACTTCTCCAAGGGGCCAACTTCCAAGAAGAAGCAACACCAACACTGGAGCAGACATACCTAGTTCTAATCCCAGCTCTGCCATGTATTAGTCACATGACCTCAGGCAAGCCACTCTTTGAGCCTTAGTCTGCCTATCTGTAAAACAGGTTGCTGTGAGGGCTGAAGACGAGCCTGACATGTTAGCTGCTGTGATTAGATACCACTCAGCATTCTGGGGCATTTGTGAACTCAGTCCTTTCATGAAAGATGGAGGGAGGATCTTGGAACTCACCCTTGCTTTGTTCTTCTCTAAACTCACCTCTTCTCATTCTCGTTTCTTTTACCCACCTATTTTTAAATTCCTCAAATGCAACAAGCTCTTCTCTGACCCAAGCCTTGTCCAGGCTGTTCCCTTTGTCTGGACCACTGTTTCTCAACTGGGGGTGATTTTGTCCCCCCAGGGGACACTTGGCAATGTCTGGAGACATTTTTGATTATCACAACGGTGGAGGGCTTGCTACTGACATCTAGTGGGTGGAGGCCAAGGATGCTGCTGAACATCCTGCAATGCACAGGACAGCTGCCCACCACAAGGAATTATCCTGCCCCTCAATGTCAACAGTGCTGAGGCTGAGAAACCCTGGGCTGGAATGATCTTCTCATTCTCCTTTCCCTGCCAATCTCTTCTTGTCCTTCAGGTCTCAACTCAAAGCTGCATACTCAGAGGTCTTTCTGGGCTCCTGATTATGCCCCTGCTGTCTTCCCTATTCACAGCATCTTCCTTTCTTTTCTGCTCTTCTCACACCTTGCAGGTTGTCTCTCCTGCATGATTCCTAATTCCACCTGCCCCACTCGACTATGTGCTCCCTGAGGAGGGAAAGTGTCAGTTTCGCTCACTAAATGCCCACACAGTGCCTAGCATAGCAGTTGCTCAATAAAAGTTTGTTGAATGAATGCCTGAATGAACAGATAAACCACTGTAAGTAAAAATCTGCCCTCGATGCTTTATAATCACTCCCTTTTATCCCTGCAGCCCTGTGAACAAAAGGAAGCAGGTATCTTTCTAGCCTCCTTCAATTCTCTCAGGCTCAAGGGTGTTGAGTGCATCATACCCAAACTGACCAGGGATTGTGCCTCATCCACAGCCTCTCCAGGCCCCAGGGTCTCCCCGAAGATGATGGGATGCCACCAAGCCCAGAACTGAAGAAGGACACCAGGGACCACGTTGTGAAGGAGACAGAGGACACTTCCAGCTTTAAAAAGAAGCCTCTCATGCCTGCACCTTATTTGCATCCTGATTCAAAACTCAAACTCTTGGGAAGATGTGACCTGGATATTCGACAACGTTAAGAATGACTGTTAAACTGGACAATGAAAAAAGAAGACCAAAGAGGAACGGACGTCTTCCAATTGTGGTGTTGGCAAAGACGAGTGAGTATACCACGGACTGTCAGAAGAACAAACCAATCAGTCCTGGAGGAAGCACAGCCGAAATGCTCCTTAGAGCGTGAGGATGGCGAGACTTCGTCTCACTTACTTTGGACATGTCATCAGGAGGACCAATCACTGGAGAAGGACATCACACTTGGTAAAGGGTCAGCAAAAAAGAGGGAGACCCTCAGTGAGATGGACTGACACAGTGGCTGCAATGGTGGGCTCAAACATACCAACGATTTTGAGGATGGCACAGGAGCAGGTAACATTTCATTCTGTTATACATAAAGTCGCTATGAGTCGGAGCCAACTCAAGGGGCGCTAACAACAACAAGAAGAACTATATTGCCGTTACGTTAAAAGAGAGACCTTATCGTTTAGAGACGTATACTGGGACAGATACAGATGCAATTTACAGGATGTCTTACATTTGCTTCGAGATAATCCAGGTTGGGGAAGAGAGTAGGCATATGGAAAAAACAAGATTAGCTACGGGGTGATCATTGTTGAAACTGGGTGATGGATATGCGGGGCCCATTATACTATTCTTGGTACTCTTGTGTATGTTTGAAAATTGCCCTAATGAAAGTTTTTGTTGTCTGTTTGTTTGTTTTTTACGGTGCCTTCATCTAGCTCTACTGGGGATGCTGCACCCAGGACCCTCATGCCATCAGACCATCAGAGGAAGGAAGCCCCTCCTCTCCATCCTCACCTTTGTCGACAAATCGGACGGAAGCCCGAGTCAAAGCAGAGAGCCGCCTTGTTGGGAAGAAATGTATTATATTCTCTTGTTTGTTTTCGTTTTCCTTACAATATCTCCAGAGGGGTTTCCTTTGTTTATGGTCTATTTTTAAAACACAAATCAATGTTTGTGCAAAGGGACAAACCTCCCTCAGGGTGCCTGGGAATGCTGCTGCTTCTCTTTCTCCCACCTCGGGCTGCTAGCTGGCTCACCAGCCTCAGGCCATGTGGCCAAGCAGGAATGCAGGCCCAGAGTGAGCTGGTCCTCAAGGGAAGCTACAGATCTGTAGTTTTATGTGAAATCTCCCAATTTACTTGTGGACGATTCATCTGTTAACATTCGATAAAGCCCAAGCAAACATGCCCAGGGCCTCTAATGAATGTCTGTCTGTGATCCTGCCTGGACTAGTCCAACCCAGCCACCCAGAGTCCCTGGGTGGTGTAAATGGGTAAGCACTCCACTACTAGCTGAAAGGCTGGCAGTTTGAACCCACCTAGAGGCCTAGCTATCTGCTTCCGAAAGGTCACAGCCTCAAAAACCCTATGGAGAAGTTCTACTCTGCACACATTAGGTCTCCATGAGTCAGAATCAACTTGATGGCCACTAACAAGAACAACGTATTAAACAAGTTACAAGAGGCCTGCCTTAGGGAATGACCAAAACCAACCTGGTCTCTCTTTTTCCATTCTTACGCTCTTTCTGTTGAACACCTAAGTCATATCTTGCCTCTCTTCTGCTCAAAACATGCCAATGCCTCCCATCTTGCTGGGGTAAAAGCCAGATTCTAGAATCTCTATGATCAACTCCAATGATATCTCTGTTATTTTGCACCTTACTGCTCTGCTCACTTACTCTGTTCCAGCCACAATGATGCCCTGTTCTTACCCTAACACAGCAGGCCTGCCCCCACCTCAGCACTCAGCACTCACCGCCCCTGGGCCTGGACCACTTTCCCCAGGGTGCCTGACTTGCTCCTTCACCTTCTTCTATTCTTCGCTTGAATGTCAGCTTCTCAGTGAGGACCCTTCTGGCCACTTCATTAAAATTGCAACTCTCCTCCACTTCTGCATATCCTAGCCCCTTGCCCTGCTTTTTTTTCTGATGTGCTATTTTACTTGTTGTGTTTCCTGTTTGTCTCCCCCACTTAAATGGAAACTCCGTGAGAGTAGGGGTTTGGGTCTCTTGTGCACTGGTATATCCTAGAACAAGAGGGGCACAGTGGCTCAGTGGCAGAGTTCTCGCCTTCTATGTGGGAGGCCTGGGTTTGATTCCCAGCCAGTGGACCTCATGCGCAGCCACCACCCGTCTGTCAGTGGAGGCTTGTGTGTTGCTATGATGCTGCACGGGTTTCAGCAGCGCTTCCAGGCTAAGTCAGTCTAGGAAGAAACGCCTGGAGATCTACTTCTAAAAATCATGCACTGAAAGCCCTATGGATCACAACAGTCTGATCTGCAACCAATCGTGGGGATAGTGCGCTACCGAGCAGCATTTCGTTCTGTTGTGCATGAGGTCACCATGAGTCAGGGGCCAACTCGACGGCAGCTAACGACAGCAACGAAAACAACAACATCCTAGAACAGAGTTGGAAAGCTGTACTCAAGAAAACATCTGTCAGTGGTGAAGTTCTCTCCGAGGTTCACCGTTCAGCCTGGGAGTGGACAGCCCCGTAAAACCAAATGAGACTAACGAGGTACAGGAGTCCAGTGACAAGGGCCAGAAGGCAGAAGGGGACAAGGAAGCTGGTAATAGGGAACCCAAGGTTGAGTAAGGATATTGTTGATGTGTTGTGAGATTGTTAACCATTGTCACAGGGCAACATTTGTAGTAACTGTTAAATGAGAAACTATTTTGTTCTGTAAGCCTTCATCTTAAGTGAGAATAACAGCACAATTGGAAGAGCGTGGTCAATGTCACTGAACTGTGCATGTAGAAATTTTTGAAATGGTGTATCTTTGGCTGTGTGTATTTTCACCAAAAATAAGGTTGAGAAGTTAGAGGGTTGACATGTTGTGGGGTTGTTAACCAATGTCATAAAACAATATGTGTACTACTGTTTCATGAGAAACTATTTGTTCTGTAAGCCTTCACCTGAAGTACAACATAAATAAATAAATTAAAAAAAAAAAAAAAGAAAACATCTGTTGGATGAATGAACAAATAAATGAATGCATGCATAAGCAATTCTCAGGCCCAGCCTGAATCCTCTCTTGAGAGATTTTCAGGAGCACGTGCCTAAGTTCCTCCCAGATTTTGCTGGGACAGAAACACCTGTCCAGACAGGAAGCACCCTGCCTCTGAGTTCCAGCTGTCCAGCTAGGAGCAGAGAGGGTGAGCGATGCAGGACCATAGACCAGGCTGGCGGGAGGTGCCTGGCACCTTACCTGATGGGGTAGTCAGCTGCGCTGAGGTTGATGAAGAAGTCCCAGGGCCAGTCGGTCATCTCCAGCAGGTCCCGCATGCTCTGCAGGTAGGTGGACAGGAGGCTGGCACCCCCCCAGATGGTGGCCATTCTCCAGGGCGTGACACGGACATTGGGGTACTGCCTGGAGAACTGGAGCACTTGCCGGTGCAGGTAATTGGAGCGCTTTTCCAGAGAGAAAGGAGACCGTCAGTAGCAGGGAAACCAAGACTTGCCTCTCTCCCACCTCCCCTCTCTGTCCCTTCCCCCTAGTTGATGCGGCTACCGACTCAAGAAGCTGATTCAGGGCTGGGCTGTCCCTCTGCTGGTTGGAACATTGCTACTCAAACCCTGAATATTTTTAAAATGTTATTTTAGCTATTTGAAATACAGATTCCCTGTACCCACCTCTGAGCTAATGGTCCACTAGGCTTGGGCTGGTGCTGGGGACTCTCAGGTGGTCTGAGGATAACAAGCCAAGAAATACTGCTGTATCTGAACTGCTGGGATTTTGGGCCGTGGAATTCCTGTTTTCAGCTCCCTTCCATTGCCCGTCTATCACCCTCTCCCATGCCAGCTAGAAGCGGACCTTTTGGATGCTGAGATGCAGGCCAATTTGAACCTAACATGCATCCCCTTTGCCTTCTTGACTAACGATGCAATCATGTCATGTCAGTAGACCAACCGAAACCTCTGGGACGGCAAATCTACCACAGGTTTCTGTTCATAAAGTTTTACTGGAGCACGGCCACACCCATCTGTTTCTCTCTCTCACACACACACGCTCCTATGAGGGACCGCCATCCAGTTGATGAGTTTCCCTTAAAGGGAGGCACTAGGGACTGTGCTAGTGACATGGAAGGAGGGTCTCAGGGAGGGACAGACAGCCCTGCAGAGACAGGCTGGCATGGGACGACCAGAAGAGCCTCCTCACCTTGTCCACGTGGATGTAGTAGAAGTGGTCTCTGTGGTAGATGGCCTTGAACATGCGCTGCAGCTGCCGAGAGGCACGGCCGTGGACCACCAGGACGAAGGCAATTCTGACCGGGTTGGCTGGCATGTACTCCACCGAGTCCTCATCCCACTGAACGTTCTTGTTGGCTTTGCCTGAGGAAAACCCAAGAGATCACAGATGTGACGGTGAGGCTAGGTGGTTCTTTGTGGGTCGGGGAGTTTCTCTGATACTCTTTCTTCGGAACCATTTTAGGGCCATGGTAGTCATATTGGGCCCTGGAACTTGATTCAACTTTAATAAGCATGACCTTGACCCTGACGTTGTCCTGGCACCACAGGAGCAGGGGACACTGAGGTGCTTAAGACATGGTTTCCACCCTCAAGGGGCTTCAACTAGCTTCTGGAGACACAAGTAAGCATATTAAAGAGAAATAAGAAGATGTCTGTGAACCACAGAAGGAGCAGTTAACCAGTTGCCATCAAGTTGACTCTGACTCATGGTGACACCACGTGTGCCAGAGCGGAACTGAGCTCCATAGGGTTTACAGTGACTGATTTTTTTGGAAGCAGATTGCCAGGCCTTTCTTCTGAGGCATCTCTGAGTCTACTCGAACTGCCAACTTTTTGGTTAGCAATGGAGCACATTAACTTTTTGCATCACCCAGGGAAGGAGCAGTTACTTCTGAGTTAAGGTACACATGTTGTTTTGGCCTGCCCACAATCTATTCTCCCTTCTCTTCCTAAGAGCATTCAATATTTCAGAGGGTACCACCCTCTCCTCTGCTCTCAGTCTATAAGGATGACGAGGATCTGACTCCATTACCAATTCTAGGGGTGGTCCTATCACTTAGGCCAATCAGAACACTGCATCTGACAGACCACAGTTATTTGTTCAGAGATGAATATGTAACCCACACAAGCTAATTAGCCAGTAAGACACAATTTCAGACTTCTGTTGGAACTACTAGGTAAGAGAGGGTCTCTTTCTGCTGTACACGAAACTGGGAGAGTCTAAGAGTCTTCCTGTCCCCACATGGAAAGAGGCTGCCTGAGAGGAAAACTAACACCAAGGAGAGCAGTGTTGAGTAATGGAGACGGCCCAGGCTGTCCCTGAACCACCAATGTCCACTGCAATTCCAACTAAAAATGTGGCTATGCTTAGCCTGATTTCCTTTGGGTCTAACTTGACTCCTTATAGGTTCTAGATTATGGATTCTAAGTTAGAGAACCCAGAATAGTGGCACAGTGGTTAAGCACTCAGCTGCTAAACTAAAGGCCGGTAGTTTGAACCCACCAGCCACTCTGCGGGAGGAAGATGTGGCAGTTTGCTTCCGTGAAGACTTACAGCCTTGGAAACGCTATGGGGCAGTTCTTCTCTGTTCTATAGGGTCGCTATGAGTCAGAATCGACTGACACAGCAATGGGGGTAAGTTCAGGTGCTCCAGCTAGGGAAAGCTGAGAATTGGGACTGTTTAGCCTGGGGGTTAAGATATCAGGAGCCTGTCAGCTGTCATCAGAAATCTGAATGGATTGCTAAATGAGCAAGGCTTCATCTATGTTGCTCCCAAGGACAGGACGATACTAATGTGGATAACATCCAAATCATACTGCTCAGTCTCCATGGCCTGTGTGATCTGGCTCCTGCAGACCTCTCCACCCTGACTGTAGCCCAGTGAATATGTAACCCAAACAAGCTAATTAACCAATAAGACACAATTCTAGACTTTTGTTGGAACTACTGGTAAGACAGCATCTCTTTCTGCTGTACACGAAACTGGGGGAGTCTAAGAGCCTTCTTGATTCTAAGAGCCTGATTGCTACCACTTTTAGTCTGGCCCCCTAACCTCCAGCCTCCTGGTTTTCTTTCTATTCCTTGAGCAAGATCCTGTCTGCCCCAGGACCTTTGCACTGGCTATTCCTGCTACCTGGAATGCTCTCTCTCCCCAGATCTTTGCCTGGCTGCATCTGCTTGCCATTAGCTCACAGCTCAAAAAAGGGCCATGCCCGCAACCTATCACACCAGTCTTTTTTACATCATCTTATTTCACATTTCTGCACAGCATTTCACATGGCCTGAAACTGTTTTTCGGTTTACTTGTTTAATTAATGTCTAAATACCCCTCTACAACATAAATCCAGGAGATGAGGAATATTTCAGTCTTGTGCACCACTGAATATGCAACACTGGAACAATATCTGCTACACATTTGGTTTTGGGGGAAAAAAAGTTACAGGAGTGTACATTTTGGCTCAGTACAATAGCATCAGCAGCACCTGCTAACACATTTTATTGAGCATTGACCAGACCTTGACTTTGATTATCTCATTTAATCCTCATAACAACCCTGCAAGGTAGTGCTCTTATCCCCATTTTCCAAATGAGGAAACCACAGATTAGAGGATTAAGGGCTTCATTCAGGGTCACATTGTTCTAAATAGCTAAGCCAAGATTCAAAGCCAGGTCTATCTGATTCTAAAGCTCATGCCCTGGACTCCTTATACACACTACGAGACCACATCTAGAATTGGGGAAAGGTTTATAACAATTCTGCTTGTTAGTTAATGGTATACTTTATAAATTAGTCATTGCATAGGCAGGCATGCATTTAAGGACCGTGGGAAGCTGACTCTAGGTGACCAATAAGGTCACATATTTTCATCCATCATCCATCTATAAATCCATCCACACGCCCATCCAATTCCAACCACCTAGCCCTCCAAACATTGAGTAAATTATCCAACTACCCATCTAGCAAAGCATCCAAAAGCTTACCATCCAAAAGATCCACCATTCATTCACTCATCTGTCCAACCCCTCTTCATCCTTAAAACCAACCATCCATTCATCCATCCATCCAACCATCTAACTATCAACCCACTGATCCATGCAATATTAACTTGGCCTACACTACATGTCAGGTACTGTGCTAGGAATCAAGGAAATAAAATATATATTAAAAGAGCCCTTGCCTTTGAGAAGCACTCAGTCAACTGGGGGAAAACACAAGACAATGCTCAATCGTTGTATGACAGAAGTACGTTCAGGTTGTTACTGGACAGAGGAGGAAAGAAGAGACCTCAGAGAGTTTAGTCCACAGCTTCTGAGGCCCATTTCTTCAAGCTTTCCTGATGAGTTCTATGGCTTCTTGGCTGTTAAATCGATAGCTACAACCTTGGAGCTAATTATCATCTTGGCTCGGGTTGATAACAGATTTGGCAGCAACCAGAGGGTTATCCTAGCCACTCTTTAATCTTCTCTCTACACCAATCACAAACAAACTAAGCTTTCCTGGTGACCACGTGAGATAGGTATGCCTGGGGGAGATCAAGTCCCTTTAAATACCTACACAACAAACCATCCGTCCATCCATTCATTTATCCAATCACCCATCATCCTTAAAACCTATGACATGTCAGCCCTGGGTACAAAGGCATGTACGACATGAGCCTGTTCTGACACATGGATTATGAATGGATTAAGGAATGTGAGAATCCAAAGTAAAAAAGATCATAAATACAAGAAAAGCTTATATTCTCCCATGACCATAGCCCTGGTCTTCGTTACACTGGCTGTCACCTCTCTCGGCTTTGCTTAGAGACTCTTTACCAAAAAATGGCAACTATTTCTGGCAAGTGCCTCTGATGGGGGGAGCTGCATATGACAATAAACCACAGGGAGGGGCATGGGCAGAGGTGGCCCCCACGATGGGCTGTCTCTATGCCCCAGTGCCTCTGCAACGCCCACTGGCAGCGTGACCACCACTTCCGGGACTTCGGTCCTGAAACGCACACGGCCTCCCCCATTCGGAGTCGATCTGCAGTGGGTTATGGTAAGATTCCCGATGCTGGCAGGGACTGGGGACACAGACTGTCTCCTTTCCTGTGGGAGTGGAAGCTGGTACAACCTTGTCGGAAGTGAGGTGGCAACAGGTATCACAATTTTAAATACACATGCCCCTTGCCCCAGTAATTCCACTTCTATGAATCTATCCTAAGGAAGTAAGAGGGCAAATATGTAAGGCTGAATGTAGAGGGTGTTCGTTGTTCATCTGTTTGTTCGTTCCTTGGTTCGTTCGTTCATTCATTCATTCAATGTCTCTATGTGCCAGGCACTTGTCTAGCCTTATCAGTGAAACACAACAGTCTTTTCCCACAGGGTGCTTATAGGCTACTGGGCTAGAAAGCCAATAAAAAAATGTACAGATAGTGGCGATGGTTGTACCACATGATGAGCGTGATTAGGGTCACTGAGCTGTGTGTTATATATGTAGAGGATGCCGAAATGGCAAATGTTTTGTTATACATATACTTAAAAAAAAGTAAGCAAATAGAGAATATAATTGAAGACAGTGATAAAGTCTACAAAGAAAAAAATAAAGTGGGTTAAGGGATGGGGAGTGATGTGACAGGGTTTATTTTCAGAAAAGTCTTCTGGTGGTCAGTTTGAATCAGTGGCACTGGAACAAGCTCTGAACGATACGAGAGAGTGAGCCATGGGATTACTGGGGCAGGGGGAGGATTCTAGGCAGATGTCACAGCCAGTGCAAAGGTCCTGGGGCCTCTACCTCAACAGTGTTAATAATGGTCCAAAATAGGAGCTGACCCAAAGATCTATCAGTGGTGGATGGATAAAGAACATTAGGAGTATACATGCATTAGATTTACATGCAGCTGTCAAAAATGATTACTTATTAATACTTAATGATATGGAAATTTGTCTATAATATATTGTTTTGCAAAAAGAAGTTTCAAAAGAATGATATTCAATTCATAACAAATTAAAAGTTGTGCTCCCAAACATTAATAGAGGTTCATAAGGTGGCATGACCGTTCTTTATACTTTTCTGCATAATCTGAATTTAAAAAAAAATGTGTTACTCAGGACTAATTGCCTACATGAACCATGGCCTCATCTATCCAGAGACCAGAAGAACTAGATGGTGCCTGGCTACCACTACCGACCATTCTGACCAGGGATACAACAGATGGTCCTGGATAGAATGGGAGAAAATTGTAGAACAAAACTCTAATTCTGAAACAAACAAACAGCAACAACAAATGGTCAGACTTATTGGTCCAGGAGAGACTAGAGGAACCCCTGAGACTACTGCCTGAGATACCCTTTAAACTTTGAACTGAAACTACTCCCAGAG